CGTGGCTGGTCGCCAACGACGGGTCGATCTCTGTAGGTCCGTAGCCTTTTAATCCTAATAGTCAAACTAAACGGGAGGGTTGGGAGGAGAAAAAAAACCAACTACCCCCTGAAGCTTTTCCATCTCAGCGACTGAGAAAGACACAGAGGGTGACGGAGGAAAGGAAAGAATTTCGGTAATTGATATTAAAAATCAATCTAAAATATTCTACGCCGAGATAAGCGCAGCCTTTTGAGGTGGTCAAGCCTCTGAAATAATGTAATGCGATTAAATGCTACAAAAAAAGTCAGAATAACCTTGACTTGAATCCTGTTTACGTCTGCCCTTTCGCTTTACACGTATTCTGCAGTTTCCTAGCAAAATCACAACCATACCGCTTCAGGTTTTGGACAATAAATAGTCTGCTCCATATCACAGTACGGGGCTTCCATCTCGCCGATATAAAAAAATCACCTATTATTTAAATTACTTGAAAAATCTTAGCTAACTATTATAACGCTTCCTTATTGTATCGCAGTGTTAAGGGAACATATTTAGTTTAAAAAAAAAAAAAAACCCAAACAAAAAAAAACCCAAACAACGGCTATGTATAGCTCCTTTCCATAACAGACAAAAAGGCAAACAGAAAAGAAGAAACGCCAGTTAAGAACTTGTGACCCCGAAATATTTAAAATCCAAACAATAAGCACGTTTTTCTGCAGCCGCATTCCTGGCAAATTTTGCGAAGAATTATCGCCTTCTGGCCTTATTTTCATTGGAAAAGGTGGGAAGGGGTTGCGCTTTTCGTTGGCCGCAACGTTGCGAATTCCCTAATAGTACGTTTTTCTAACAAGCCTTTGTAGACTGTAATCACCCTGCAAGTTTACAAAAGACTGTCCTAATTCCTGAGATATTTTCTCCTGCTCGAGCCGTAACAGCCCTCACCCTTCCCCTGTGAGAGGAGCAGCAGCGATTGAAGCCAGCGATCGTGTAATATTTTAATTAGCTCCTCCTGACGCAAATTCCTTTTAGCACACGTTTCTCCTGTTAATTAGAGGCACCCACCCTCCTGGCAAGGTAAACGGTCGGCTTCAGAATTTTTTCAAGCAAAACAGGGTAGAAAAAGACAACAATTTAGATACTATAGAACTTGACCTTTTGGAGACGAGCAGTAGTAAGTTAAACAGTTCCCTTCGCACGCCATCTGTATATATAAAAGCTAGGCTATCGAGGCGTCCTAGCTCTGTTTATATTCCTCCAAAGAAGAGATGTAGCTTTTTTTCCTCGCTTTGTTTAGCTTAGCTATGGGTAAATGTGCTCACAGTCTCCCCACCTCTTGGCCGCCCTTGTCCTTTGCAAAAACGTCCTGCAGCAGAGCTCCCAAATTCAGAGCGGTTTTACCCTCTCTAATCCGGCCGAAATACACGGGGAAGGCGTAACGAATGCATTTTGCTTCTCCAAACGAACTGCCTGCCTTTGTTTATGTTGTTTTCAGGGAGGTTAGCGAGGGGAAGGCTCGGTTTTCCCCCTTCCTCAACGCGGAAGTCCCAATTACTGTATTAAAAGAGCAATTCAACATTAGACCAAATCATCAACATTGATAATTGTGCCGAACACAGCAACTTAACAGCAGGCTCCCTGCAATTACCCACACATTCCGGGGCTTTAAGCGTACATTATCTCTGTTTCACTTAACAGCAAATAAAGCAGAGAACAGCCTGTGCCGCCTTGGGTGCCTACTCGCTCCCAGACGAGCTGCGCCCCTCGCTGCCTTCCCCCTCGCCCTCCCCGCTCGTTCTGCAGCCGGAACCGGGAGGCATTTTGGGGGTCCCCTTAAGCGTTGCGAACCCGCTTGAAGAAATAGGCTGCTTGGTTTGGGGACGTGGCGGGGGGGGACAGCTCGAGCGAGTCAAAAGTAGGCATCGGGGCTGCACGTGTGCATGCTGTGCAAGCACACATATGCCCAGACACACGCACACCCACCCACACGCCTCTTTCCAGTTGCCTTCTCGCCCTTCTTGCCTTAATTTCCCTTTGTTTCCCAGAGGCAAGCCCCGACCTCTGCCACGGCGGAGCCTCGCACGGCGCCGCAGCCCCGGCTGCAGAGGGGCGCGGGAGGGAGCCCCATACGAACCTGTGCCAGCTCTGCTCCCCATTTCTAGCCCCAAGGTTTGAAATTTATTGAAATGGAAGGGATGGGGGGGGGGGGGGCCCTGCACGCGGCTCGCGAGTCCGAGGAGGTGGCGTCCCGCGATTAAGCGCTGGGCAGCTCTGTCGTGTCTGCTCTGACACAAGCTGAAGTTGACTGCCAAAGTGCTATAAAACCGCAGGTCAGTCCAGAACTGTTTTCGGTTCTCCTAGACGCGCCGTGTTCAATTATAGCCTTAAAAGCCCTAATACAAGTGCAAGAATTTGTTTGCCATCACACAGAGGCGGGGCGAGGCTCTGCAATGGTGGCGCCTTTGTTATCTCAAAGTCACTGAAATCCTTATACATTCCTTTTTGTTGGAAGGGAGGGGTGTCTGCCTGTGTGCAGGGTGTGGGGAGAGGTTGTTCGTCGACGGAATTGAAGGGGGGGGGGACACACACAGGAAAAATAAACACTGCTCGGATAGCAAAAGAAGGCTTCCGACCCCCCAACCCCACACCCCCCCGCAAAAGCTAGGGGAGAAAGTAAATGCGAGCAAAAGTATAGCGTTAAGGAAAAAGCCAACCAGAGCTCTTGCACCCCCCACCCTCTCCACCCCCCCCCAAAGAAAAAAAAAAAAAAAAAAAGAGGGAGAGAGAGGGAAAACCCCCAAACCCTTTTACAATCCCTAAACGACGCTGCAGTCTTCTGCTAGCCGTTTTGACGACAGGCAATCTCTTTCCATCCACTTTCTAGCAAATACGTCAAGCTGGAAGATTAATTCATTAATTTCAAGTTCAGCTCGCAGACATGCAGTAAGCGTAAGAAATTCTTGCAGCAAACCAAAATAAAGAGTTCATTACAGGGATACGTCCAGAGCGTTTGATTTGTGAACGGTAACCCTTGTAAAATAAGAAAAAGGCATATAAACATTAATGCTAATAAATTAGTTTACTCCACTACAAAGTAATTACCTGATAATATTGAATTTACAGCTTGAATTCAAACGCAATAGTTAACTATAATGT